CTGTGTCTACACTGGGCCACTTATTCCGGAAAATCAGCCGCTTTTCCGGAATAAGCTGCGAGCTGTCTACACTGGCCCTTGAATTTCCGGAAAAGCAACGATGCTCTACTGTACAAAATCAGCTGCTATTCCGGAAAAACTATTCTGCTCCCGCTCGGGCATAAGTCCTTATTCCGGAACACTGTTCCGGAAAAGGGCCAGTGTAGACAGCCCAGTAGTCTTTTCCGGAAAAAAGCCCTGATCGTGAAAATGGCAATCCGGGCTCTTTTCTGGAAAAGCGCGTCTACATTGGCCACAGACACTTTTCCGGAAAAAGGGCTTTTCCGGAAAAGCAGCCTGCCAATGTAGACACTCCTTTTCCGGAAAAACTGAAAACGGAATAGTATTCCGTTTTAAGCAGTTCTGGAAATTCATGCCAGTGTAGACACAGCCTGAGCGTGTAATTAGATGCTGTATCGTCCTGCACACTCACAAGGGCGCTGAGTTCATGGATTCCAAGGCCAGAGGGGACCACTGGGATCATCTTAGTCTGACTGCCTGGATGGCACGGCGGAGGGGGCTTCCCCCAAACGGTTCCTTGAGCATCGCTGGTGCGCTCTTTGGAGGCATTTCTTAAATGTCATTTCCCGGGTGTGTTTTAAGGACAAAAAGGCAAAAGCAAATTCTGTTTCACGCAAATGTCACAATCGCCACTGCTGTGTAATGTCCGCAGGGTTTGCTACAGCAATTCTCAACAGAGTGGGAGGACTTGAGGTAAAGAGCTTCAGTGGCAGAGGCCTGTTCTAAAAAAAGTGAACCGGTCCCTAGTGGGGGAAGCGTGACGCACGGGAACAGTGGGTTAAGTACGCCTGCTGAGCCGCGGTTTGCCAGCAGTCTAGCCAAGCCCAAAGCTCCGGTGAGGAGGTGGGGTTACAATATGCGAGAGCTGGTTCTGCCCCCAGCTCACGTAATGGCTCATGTAGAGGAGGCATAGCTTCAGACCAAGGTTCCTTAGTGGTTCGCATGAAGACTGTGTCTCTGGGTGTTCCTGTGCGCTGCAGGTTTAGCAAGCTGGTAGGATACGGGGTTCGCTGTTGCAGAGGACCAGGCGTGACCTCGCCTAACCGCCTGGACCACGGACACAGAGAAATGCAGCCACTGGTGACCAGAGACCCACCTACCCCTTTCTGGAAGCCAGCTGGTTCTGGCCAGGGGAGGCCAAAGGGCTGAAGAGAGGTCCTGGTGATCTCTTTGCCCAGGCAAGGCAGAGGAGGGGTGATGTAGGATGGCCGGATGGGAGGAGGTGACAAAGAGCAGCCTGAGCCCTCTGGACTTCCACAGACTCGGCTGAACAGGGCTGGGACTAGGTTCAAGGGCCACGAGAACTCCCTGGGCTGTGTTCAGAGGTTCAATAAACCCTTGTTTTGCCCTGGCTGAGGGTCCCTGCAGGCTGGAGATTGGGGGTGCATTGCTCCCTCTGGCTCTGGAGACCCCCGGGGTCCAGAGCAAGTGCACTTCCCGAGGGGGCTCCTGGAGAGAGACAGACATGCTGGAGGCTCAGAGATGCAGCCCCCAGGGGGCAGTGAA